TTATGACATTAAGGAAAAGAAAAAGGTGAATGTTTCAGTGTTTCTACAGTCAATAAAGCTAAGTAAGGCCACTTAGTTATTCTGAGCTCATGTTAACTAATTGAATTTCCCTTCGCTCTAAAAGGTCTAAGTGCTTTCTATTTAGTTACCATCACTTGGGCAAAATTCAATAAAATTCCTTTATAGCACATTTCCATCATTATCTTACCCTGCCTCGTCCTTCCCTGTTTCCCACTTATCTTTTTCTCTTACAGATCTCTGAGAATTTTTACTTTGACCTAAACTCAGATCAGATGAAAGGACTCCTGAAACCCCACACACCTCACATAGCCATATCCACGCTGGCTCGTTCTGCTATTTTCTCCATCACATATCCCTCTCCTGATATCTTCCTGGTCATTAAGGTATGGAAAGTTAATCTCTAATTAGTAGTGGTTGGAGGAAAAAAATGTGAAGTGTTTTTTTTCCATATTTTGACATACAGATATTTAATCTGAATTATAGAAATACTGCAGTTTATTTTTTACCCACTTAAAACTGAAGTCTTTTTAATGTTTCTGTAAAAGTTTCTTTGAAAAAAACTAAACATTTTGGGTGAGGAAGCACTCGTATTTATTCACACATAAAAAGGAAAAAAAATCAAACAAGATTAAAAAAACAACAAAGAAAGGCACATATAACCAAGTGCTGATGGTTAGCAACGTTTTGCTCTGAATTTGAAGTATCTTTATACCTCAGTATTTTGGTCTAGTGTTCTGTTTTCCTTTAAAGATTTAGTCGATATTAGCCATTGTTTTTTTTAGAAGCTAGTCTACAGCTGGGTGACTTTCAAAACTATTGTTGACATAGGACGTTTTCTGTCAGTACGGTGCTAAAGGATGTCTCCAAAACCTGTAAGTTGTTATCATATGGCCTGCTAATCATCTACTGCCCATTTGAAGTTATATTCCTGTTTCATCAGAAAGAGGTGAGCAAGGAGAAAATCTTTTACTCTCAAAAAATACTCTAAAGGTCAGAACCGAAAGTTTGCAAGACAGAATACATAAAAGGACTTGGAAAAATAATGCTTTTTAAAGAACAGAGGATGCATTATGAAGAGATAAATAAGCATTTAACAAATGTTAACTGTTTCAATTCATCCATTTTCCGTCATGCTTATCCCTGCTGGGGTTGCAAGGGGTGCTGGTGCCTATCTCTAGCTGTCTATGGGCGAGAGGTGGGGTACACCCTAGACAGGTCACGGGATTATCTCAGGGCAACACAAGACAAACAACCATTAAAGCACGCATTCAGAGAAGCCAATTAACCCAACAGTCATGTTAGTGGACTGTGGGAGGAAGCCAGAGTACCCAGAGAGAACCCTCTCATGCTTTAGGACAACATGCAAACTCAATGCATCCCGGGCCGGGACCCGAACCTGAACCTTCTTGCTGCAAGGCAGCAGTGCTACCCACTGCGGCACTGTGTCTAACTATATCAGCTGTGAAATATGGTGTGAGAATTTTGTTTACGGTTTGGTTGAGACGAGGAGAGAGCTCAGGAGATCTCCTGAAGCAGTGATGAACTGTGCAACATAACAAAACCCAAAATATATCAGGAATACAGTCAGAAACTACTCAATGGTTACAAGAAACATCTCCCTGAAGTCCATAGGTGTTAACACTAGCTATGAGAAGGGAGGGTGTGCAAACTTTTTCCTCTCTTAGGCTTTTCACATTTTCGTTAGTCATTTGTTTTAGTAGAAAAAACATTTTTTTATTTTTTACCTCTTTTACATGTAAACAATACCTAATAAACACCACTTATTTAGTGTGTCTTCATTTTGTTTGATTGCATGGGGAAAAACGATTGCCTCTTAACACTTGTGTATGAAATTTATTCCAGCTTGAAAAAGTTCTTCAGCAGGGAGATATCGGTGAATGCTGTGAACCTTACATGGTCATGAAAGAATCGGATTCCTCTAAGGTAATCGAGGCAAAATGTGTTTGTGTTGCAACCCTCTGCATGTGCAGCCAATATACATACACATTAGACCTTTTTTAAAGTTTAGTCACAAACATTACCCAATTCTCCCTGGATAATTTGCTGTATCCACTGTCCTCTTTAGTTTGCCAAATTTTACGCTTGTTGCAGAAGAGTCTAAGCAGTTCAATGTGCTTTGCACATATTTTAACCTCTCTTGTTCCACTTCAGCACAAGGAAAAGCTGGAAAAGCTCCGTCTCCAGGCCGAACAGGCGTGTTCTCGTCTCGGACGCTTCCGGATGCCTTTTGCTTGGACAGCAATACACCTCCTGAACATTGTCAGCACTGGAAGTCTTGATCGCTCTGACCCTGACTCTGACTCTGGTATTGTTGACCTCACTGTGCCCTTTTCACAGACCCCTATTTCCTATACATTCAAAGTTTTTACCTATATACAAAACAAGTATCAGCATGCATTTACCAGATTGGTCTTTCTGCTAGAACGAAAGAGCCATGGGACCTGGAATGAGAAAAAGAAGAAGGGGTATGAGAGGATGAGTGTTGGGGAAGAGATGTGCAACTTTGCCACTTTCCGCCCAGCAACGCTTACAGTCACCAACTTCTTCAAACAGGTCAGACTGGAAGCAACAGGCTTGTTGAAACATATTGTATCAATCCTAACCCTGGCACATTTGGATTTAAATTATTTCTATTCAACCAAGATTTTTTTTATGGAGATCTCTCAAAAGATAGTTAAACAATATAAATGAGAGATCAACTTTAATTTAGAAAAGTATAATTTTATTTATAAACTTGTATGAGGGAAAATTATTTATCCTCACTGTCATAAACATAAAAAAATCATAATTGGCATCTATAATGGAAATTCACAATGGAGAAATTTACCTTTGCATTTAACCCAGACATGGGCAATATGGAGTCAACAAGTCATCTCCATGTCATGTATTTGTTCTACCCAGCCTCTGAAGCAGTTGAGTCCAATCTTCACAGTGAATTGACCTGTGCAGATTGGACTCACCTGGTTAATTGGCTGGGTAGATTAAATACATGACATGGAGATGACTTGTTGACTCCACATTGCCCATGTCTGATTTAACCCATCCCCTTGGGGTGCAGTGGGCTGTCATGTGCAGCACCCGGGGAGCAGTGTGGGGTTAAGGGTCTTGCTCAGAGACCCAGAGTGGCAGTCTGTGGGAGTGGGGCTTGAACTCAGAACCTCAGGATTCCATTTTTGAAAATGAGAGTTCTCCTTGCCATGACCCTAATCTTTAGCTGGATCTATAGATTTAAGTCAGGAGAAACCCTGACTGAAACATTCATATTTCTTTCAATTTAAAGGAAAATGTAGATAAAATGAAAAGATGAAGTTGATTCTTCCAAGTAGAGAGAATAGTTTATGTGCTAAATTATATTTTATAAATCCAGCATTAAATCTATTAGTTCTGCAAGTTATAATAACTGGATATACATTATTTAACATTATCAGTTACTCATATAGTATATCAGTTTATTGTTAAAGTGATATGTAAACTAGTCATAATATCTGATATCATCATCATCATCATTTATTTTGAGCAATATAAGGGGAAGAATTTAGTTTTGTTTATCAACATTAACTAAGCATAAAACATTACTACTCTATTAGTTATGAAGTGCTACCTCATGATGTACATTTATAAAGTAGGCTAGATTAAATAATGCTACATTTTGTGCAGTTAATCATTACAATAACCTGCTGTTATGTAATTATCCTTCTGTTTGGCTCGTTTAAAGGAGAGAATCATAAAACATCCCAGATCAAATGTTTCACATTATTAATTCATAACTTTGAAAGATCCTGAAAACAGAACTTGCCAGATTTGTTGCGCTGATTGAGATTAAATATTGCATTAAAATGTGCTTGATTCATGGTGGCTTTTGCTCTGATGGTTCATCTTTTTCTGTTTGCTCAGTTATGCACACTGTATTTTGAACTATGATAAATCATTGGTTAATATTTTACCTTGATTTTTTTTTTGTGTAAAAAAAAAAAAAAATGAAATGAGCTGCTGTAGCAAAAACCGTTTTGTTTTTATGTATTTAACTCAGTTATATTAATTTCAACTATTGTTCTAGAAGCTAGATGAAGTAACGTTAAATAAGGACCACATTTCTGCTGCCAGAATGAAATAAAGAAGCTCCTCCATATCCTTCAGTCTCATCTATAAGAAAGTTATCAGCTTGTTTTATGCAGCCTCTTTATTTTCTTTGCTGTCTGTGTGCAGTATGATGAAGCACTAAAACAAAAACTGGCAGCCTCCTCCACTAAACAAAGCTGCATCTTAGTACAGCTTGCTTGGACTTTCTTGAGAATATTTCTTTTGTTATTTTGTGAATTTTAGACATAATTTGATCACTTTTTTACGGTATCTCTTATTTTCCTGCTATGCGTACCAAGGAGGGAGATAGACTGAGGGATGATGACCTCTACAAGTATTTGGCAGATATGCGCCGGCCATCCTCTGTCCTGAGACGGCTGAGGCCCGTCACAGGTAACTGATGCAATCTAATGTGCTGAATTGCATCTAAAGATTTATGGAAGATTTTTAACTAATTTCATGTAGGTTTTTTTTATGTGTTAATTTATTTTTATTTTTTTGTGTTTGTGGTCCACAGCTCAGTTAAAAATAGACATTTCTCCAGCACCGGACTCGCCACATTATTGTCTGTCACCAGAACTGCTTCATGTGAAGCCTTACCCTGACCTGCGAGTCCGGCCGACCAAAGAGGTGCTGGAGTTTCCTGCTCATAATGTGTGCACACCGCACACCAAGTACAGGTGAGCGTTTAACAATTAAAGACAGGCGTGCAAACAGTGACTTGACCTGTTCAGCCACTCACTATGCGCATGCTTATTTATTGATTGTATTTATTTATTTAATTCTGCAGGTTTTCATTTTGAATATTTTAACTGCTTCTAAGATTTTCAGAAATGGACTAAAGAAGGAAGCAAAACACATTTAAAAATTCTATGTAACATTTATTTACAAATAACAAAATTGTATAATTTAACATATTTTCTATTAGAAAAGTCGTTAACATAAGCTTAGAAAGGAACGTGAACATAGATAGATGGGATGAATGGAGTGCAATGATGAAGAGGAGAACTAGATGAACTTGGCTTATTCAGGAAAATGATGGATCTTCAATCAGCTATAATAAAGCTTCACTCTGGAAGAAAGAGGAGAATAGCAAAGGCATTTATTGAAATGAAATATCAGAAGAATTGAGAAAATTCATTTTGTTTAACAAGCTAGTTACCATCTTCTGCAGTTTGGAAAGCTGCTCATCCTGAGTCTTAATATCTTGTTTTTGGGCCCAGTTCCAGGTCTGCAAACCTCTCAAAAGTTGGAAGTGCTTTTCTGCTCTATCCTAAAAGACATAAAAATAACACAGATTTTCAAAAGAGAAGACGGTAAAGAAAAACAAAATGCACCAGCCTTGTGTGGCTCTGAAGTGTTTGTTTAGATTTACCTGCAGCTCCTTAAGGCCGGTAGGTGCAGCGTAGTTTATGTACATCTCCAGCTGTCGAACCTTCGCCTTCAGTTCGTCTTCGTCTTTCTCCAGGCTATTCAGCCAATCTTTTGTGACCTGCGTCTGAACCTGTTGCTTTTCTGTCTGTTCCTGTCAAAAAATGAATTGACTCCATTATTCTCTTTGTCGGTGGAGACTTTTATACGGCCTGCAGCCAGCAAACTAAAATACATATTTTCTTTGATAGGATCTTTCTTTGATCTATTTAAATTTAAAGTTAGATTTTTGCATTATAATGTGGTCTGATGCACGAAAAGCAACATAGTATTTACACACTGTATTAATAGTCTTATAGATCTTATATAGTGCTTAACTTGGTCTACTGAACTTTAATCCAATAGAAACAGAACTGCAATACTCTCCTAACCTTTTCCATCATCTGTACAGTATATCTATATAATCTGTGTTGTAATCAGGGAGCTATTCAGATTAACACATGGAATTCAGTGTTTACATTTCTCTCTCCTCCTACCTGTAACAGCTGCACGACTTCCTTTATCTGTTGCTCCATTTCTGCAGCCTCTTCAGTCTGCCTCCCCAGCTGTTGGAGAGTTTTCTCATGATTCTTCAGAGTCCTGCTGATTCTTTCCATCTTTGCCTCTGTGGTTTCAAAAACGTAGTTAAGCGATTCGCTTAACTGTATGACTCCAAACATGAGCACGTTAACTTCCTCCTGAGGTGCAGCCTTGTCGGGTGTGCTGCTCGTTTTCCTGATAGGGCCCGCATGGACTAATCCTAAACACCCAGCTAAGCACAGGAGACACAGGCTCCACATTTTTATATCTACATCAAAAGATGCAAGATGTGCAGATATATCTCTCTTTGACTCAGATGATCCTCACCTACAAAAGGATGAACTTTCAGGTCCTGCTGCATTATCTTTTATAGGGACTGAACATGCAATAGTATCGTGAAACATTAGCTCATTTGTGGTTCGATCCAAAGTTTAGGTGCACGGCCTTGGTCCCGGTGACCTTCTCCTAGTGCTTATCCAAAGAGAGTCTAATTTTAGCTCACTTATGTTACACTTTTGCAACATGCCTATGAAGCAAGTTGGTGATGTTCTTGAAAGTAAAACTAAAATCATTTGTCGAAATAAAATGAGCGCAGTCCTCTTGGTTTTTAGATTAAACATGATTCTGTGTTAGGATTTTCCCCCTATTATGGATAATAGATGTTTTAAAATTTGAACTGTAGTTACCTCTGATGTTTGACTTGGACTGGTGTTGGTGACATTCAGGAGTGAATATGATAAAGGGTCAGACTTCTCTCACGTACGCACGAGACTCGTTTGCTACCATGATTTTTTGAAGTTACGATTTTGTTGCTTTAAAATAACTTGTTCTTATTTAGTCATAATTAATTCAAAAAAGAAGCACTGTAGGGCATCCTATTTGTATTTCTTTACAGTATAGGAGACAAAACAAATATTAGGAGTAAGGTTTTTTTACTTAAATGATCTAAATGCTCTAAAAAGGATTGAGGGGGAAAGCTTACACTGCACATCCCCCTACAGTACATTCTCAATCCCTACTAGCATGTGAAATACGGTGGTGGCAACCTCATGCTGAGGGGATGCTTTTCTCCAGCTCAGACAGCAGAGCTTTACAGAGGTGATGGTAAGAGATATTGAGCTAATCACCGAGTGTTCCTGGAAGAAAACCTGTTAAAGCCAGCATATACAGTCAAAGTTTTAATATAAAACATTTCCTCAAAGCATATTTAGGTGTTATAATGACTAAAGATAAGACTTGGAGCCAATTTGTAATTTATGTAAAATGGGTTATTTAAAAGAAAAAAAAAAAAAAAAACTAAATGTTGGAACTGTAACTATACAGTTTATGGCAATTTTTTTTCATCACAATGTTTTTTATCACTGCTGCTTATCTTTATCAAGGCTGCAATTTAAAAATGATATAGAATTGAGCAGGGGTTTTTAATGTTTTCCTGGCCAAGGACCCCCAAACTGATGGCGAGATGGAGCAGGGACCCCCTAATTATATATATATTGTATGAAATTGTGTTATATCAAACTGGTCCTATAGTCACTCTATTACAGATGGACTAATGTAATGAAAGTAATTTCTCCCTGGGATTATTAAAGTATTTCTGTGAATGAAATGGTACCCAGCTTGAACGAGCTCCTTTGTGTCGCTGAATGTGTGCATTGATGACTGAAAGACATCTTCTGCCTCCATTTATCTGTTTACTACAGTGTGTAGAATTCATGTTAATGTGTAATTAAAGACATTTCAATTAGTGGAAAAAAATTGCTGGGGGTAATACATAAAAAAACAGTCTAATCAACCAAAACTTTCGCGACCCCCATGCAGTACCTCCGTGGACCCCCTAGGGGTTGAGGACCCCCTTTTGAAGACCTCCGGTCTAGAGAGCTGTACTTAATGAAATTTCTCTTTGCTTACACTTGTGTGTACAAAATGACAAAATAAAATCTGTCTGTCGAATTTAAAACTCTTTGAAATACCTTAGAACTGATGTTTACAGATACAGTTTCCAACCAATCTGATGAGGATTTAGAAATTTTGCAAATGAGAATGAGCTTTAATTACAGTCTGTAGAACATACCTTAAGACTTAAAGCAATATTTCCAGTAATGGGTTGTCTGCAAAATATTGATTGACTGGCCTGAATGCATAACATGTTAATGCTTTGAAAGACACTATGTGCTTTTGTTAACAAAACTGACATTACAATAAGAAAAGAAACTAATTTTCCCTATGCTTTTGCAGATTTTTAGTTGTGTTGACTTTTTTTCTCTGTTGTCTCCTCCTGTATGTTCTATGACAACCCCCTCCCCCCATTCCACGTCTCAGGAACCTGCTCTATGTTTACCCACAAAGCCTGAACTTCAGCAGTCGTCAGGGCTCTGTGAGGAATATTGCTGTTAAAGTTCAGTTCATGGCAGGAGAGGACCCCAGTCAAGCATTACCGGTGAGGAACGATTAATGTGGCCTGAATGTGAGACCCTTCCCCAAAAAAGAGTAATAAAGAACAGCTGAAGGCAGCGTTAGCCAATTAAAGATTGTATTTTAAGAGGATGTCTTCTTTATGTGTACAAAACTATACTTTGTTTCTATTCAGAAATCTGCAGCAAAATATAGTGTGTTTTAGGATGCTAACTTAATTCTTTTGGGTGGCTCTTTGATGTCCATGCAGATTGCTTCTGTAAGCAACAATAGTCATGCTACCTGTTAACGGTTGAAGGCTACACTCACACTCTGCCTTTTTGAGCAGGTCATCTTCGGAAAGTCAAGTTGTGCCGAGTTCATGAAAGAGGCGTACACTCCCGTCATCTATCATAACAAGTAAGGCTGACTCACTCTGTGACGCTCTCTAAGTCTGTTTAGCGCTCTTAAACTTTGACTTGCTCATAAGGTCCCCTGAGTTCTACGAAGAGATAAAGATGAGGATTCCTGCCAACCTGACAGACAACCATCATCTGCTGTTTACCTTCTACCACATCAGCTGCCAACCTAAGCAGAACACTCCTCTGGAGACTCCTGTGGGCTACACCGTTAGTATGCTCTAGGCCTGGGTTTAATCCTTTCACCCACATGTTAACTTGTTTGGCAGCTTTTTTTGTAACGTTACCATTTGGGAGAGATCACATGTCTTTCTGCCTGCAGTGGATACCTTTGATGCAGCATGGCCGACTGCGTACCGGCTCCTTCAGTCTTTCTGTTTCTGTTGAAAAGCCTCCGCCTAGCTACTCTGTGCTCACCCCTGACGTAAGTGTGTGGGAATATCAGCTCGCCTGCCTTCAGCTATTCGTTTGCAATGTCAGTGGGAATAAATTGTGTCAAATTTCAGGTTCAGCTTCCAGGCATGAAGTGGGTGGATAATCACAAAGTAGTATTCGATGTCGAGGTGACAGCAACCTCCTCTGTTCACACTCAGGTACATAAGAATGCTTATTATACTGAGGATTATGTTTACTGATGTGCATTTCTTTTAAACTTACATTATAAACATTCATGGTTATACTTTCAGGACCCACACCTGGATAAGTTTTTTACCCTGGTCTATGTCCTTGAGGAGTACTCCTTCCCGTTCCGACTCAAGGATGTGATTATCACTGAAGCCAACATGGAAGGGGAGCTGAAGGCCAGCATCGGCGCGTTGAAAGGGGCTCTCCTCGATACCTGTATCAGTTTTCTGCATCAGCTGCTCAACAAGCTCATTCAGCTTATTGTTTACCCCCCAGTCATTGCAGGTCAAATTGGTGAGTGGCTGCTTGTCTATAGTTGAAGTTCAGGATAACGGAGTTATATTTGTGAATATTAGAGTAAAATTGTGAATATTTGTTTACATCTATTCTAAAACGCTCTGTATCATTTATTTGTACTTTCTCTGAGATCCACACTGCAATACGATCTAGAAATAAGTCAGTTAAGTGCATTTACCCTTATTTTGAGAAGGTAAATAAGATGATTCACCAACGGGATGACTATTTTTACTCTTAAAATAAGATAATTAATAATATGCACTTGAAATAAGACAATGCAGCTGTTTTTTCTTATTTTGAATTTAGATTGTCTTGTTTCATTGGTAACATGTCTCACCTACCACCTCATTTCAAGAGCAAATGCACTTATTTTAAGAAAAGATTACTTATTTTGATTTCTGTTTTTCCAGTGGTATTGCTCTTGATACTGTCTTAAATCCTTATCGATAGTTCTTGCTGTTTTTGAAAGAATTTATTTTTTTTTTTACTTACTGCTTTTTTACTTTACTGCTTTCCATTCCCGCTTACTCTACCCATCATGACTGTTGTATTGTGTGCTAAGAAAAAGTGAAACAGAGAATAAGTGGAGAAAAGACAAACTTTCAGGTTTAAAAATAAGACAAATTGGTCTAAAAGTTTGAACTTTAAGAAATAAATGCCAAGTTATTATTTATGCAAAACGATTAAGCTGTTGAATGAAGGTTCTTAAATCAACCAGCTTAACATCATATCTAAAAATCCTGAGAAAAATCAAATGGAGTGATTTAAAAGAGTTAAACTCATTATTTATCTAAATAAAGTCAATTTACAGAAAAACACAAAAATAAAAAATCCAAAGACTAATAGGAAAGTTAAGTAAGGATAACTCTGCTCTACAATGCTTCCACAAACATGGTTAAACAGCATGTTTTATTAAGATGAGACAAACTATTTTAAAATCTAGTTAAACCAATTAGAGTCTGAGATTAATTGTTTTTTTGTGAAAAAACCCCCAACAATTCTTGCAGAATTATAATAGAAAAATAGACGAACAGCATACGATGCACACAGATTTATCAAAGCCAAATCATAAAGGGTAATCTGCCCTGGCTCTGACCCGATTGGGCAACGATTCCTGGTGGTTTCCTGGATTCCCTACTGAACACAAACTCAGCTCAGTCTTTGCAGCATGTGCTTCCAGTAGGGCAAACACTAGGACTGGTTGATCAGCCAATCAGAGATGGACTGAGGGTAATGTGAGACACAATAGATTAAAAAAAGTCTCCGTAAACTATATATGGTATTATTTTTGCTTCACTTGCTTCTTTAAATTAAAGAAACTAAAGTATGTTTTTTATCTGTAGCTACATTTCTATCTCATGTCTGGAGCTGTTTTTACTTTTTTCCAAGAAAAAATATTAATCAGGTATAAAAATTAAAAGATGGATCTAAAGCGTAAATTTAGCATTTTAATCAGCATTTAACAAATGCGTCTTTTGGCCATAGCAACCCATGAGCTCATAAGAAAATTTACATTTTGAATATTTAACTTCTTCACATTTGTGGTCAAAGGGGATTATTTAGTTTTTATCTAAAAAGTCCAGGAAGATTTTGTTAAAACCTGGAGAGTACTAGTTTT